ATGAACAGAATACTGATTTTAGCCGGTAAGTTCGAGCGGCGCTGAGTTTTCGTAGCAGAAAAAAAGAAAAGAAAGAAAAGAAGAAGAAAAACGTGATATAAAGGGAAGTTTGTTTACGTGTGCCAAGGAATTTCAACGAAAAATAGAGAATGATCCAAGACCTTCAGAGTAAAGTACATGTTTTTGATAATTACCGAAAAGACCGTTCTGTTTTCCCGTGTGAACTGATGTCATATTGTGCGCAACAGATTGAGTTCGAAAGGGAAAGTCAAGTACCTGTTACGTCAATTATAGCTATATCACGACATACCACAGTAACAAGTAGTAGTCTGTCTCCGTTTCACTAAATAACGTTCGAAATGGAAAGTTGAGGAGTTCATACGTTCATCAAAGCAAATTGTACTTCTGCAAAAGCGGTTTTGCATCCCCCATTCACTGAAAAAGTAGCACCCACCTATTTCTGGATTATACATTATCTGTAATATTATACACATCTAGTGTATATCTTCCCTGTCACCTCAACACGTATTCACATTATATAGTATCTGAAACAGTGACAAGGCATAAAAGAGACTTAGTCCACGTATATCATTTTTATAATAATAATATAAAGAATGAGTAAAAAAAAAAAAAATCTTAAGCAAATTGAATAAACTGAGAAATGAATATATCAAGAGGAAAATATTTCTGTGAATAACCTTATTCATTCCCTTTTCCACAGCTCTGGCCGGGGCGTGTTTGGCCCAGCAAGGTTACCTTCCACCTACCAATGGATTCAATGGTAATGGCAATGGCAATGGTAATGGCAACGGAAATGGCAATGGCAACGGATTCGTCAACGGCAACGGAAATGGGGCCAATGGAAACGTGTTCGGAAATGGGAACGGAGCGAATGGAAATGGTGTGAATGGCAATGGTTATAGTTACAGTAATGGTAACGGTGTAAATGGCAATGGTAATGGCGTGAATGGTAATGGTAATGGTGTAAATGGTAATGGAGTGAATGGCAATGGCGTCAATGGAAATGGAAATGGGTACAGCTACAGTAATGGCAATGGAAACGGCGTAAATGCAAATGGTAATGGCAATGGAAACGGCGTGAATGGTAATGGTAATGGCAATGGATATAGTTATGGAAATGGTAACGGAGTAAATGGCAATGGCAACGGCGTAAATGGTAATGGTAATGGCAATGGAAACGGCGTGAATGGCAATGGTAATGGATATAGTTATGGAAATGGTAATGGAGTAAATGGCAATGGCAACGGCGTGAATGGTAATGGCGTGAATGGCAATGGAAATGGAGTAAATGGCAATGGAGGATATAGCTATGGTAACGGAAATGGTAATGGTGTGAATGGCAATGGAAATGGTAATGGTGTGAATGGCAATGGAAATGGTAATGGTGTGAATGGCAATGGAAATGGTAATGGTGTGAATGGTAATGGAAATGGTAATGGATACAGCTACACCAATGGCAATGGAGTAAATGGCAATGGCGTGAATGGTAATGGTAACGGTGTGAATGGCAATGGCAATGGAGTAAATGGCAATGGCAAATGGCAATGGCAATGGAAATGGTAATGGAGTAAATGGCAATGGAAATGGTAATGGTGTGAATGGCAATGGAAATGGTAATGGCGTGAATGGCAACGGATACAGCTACACCAATGGCAATGGAAATGGTAATGGCAATGGAAATGGCAATGGCAATGGAAATGGTAATGGTGTGAATGGCAATGGAAATGGCAACGGAGTAAATGGTAACGGATACAGCTACACCAATGGCAACGGAGTAAATGGCAATGGCAACGGAAACGGCAATGGCTTCAACGGCAACGGAAACGGCCTCAACGGCAACGGAAACGGCAACGGCTTCAACGGCAACGGCTTCGTAGACCCTATCACTGCCCTGGCCGACGCCATTGGAGGTGGAGGCGTCCCAGGTGTGGACTACCCCATCCTGGCCTTCGTCCCCGCCACCGGCTTCTCCTGCAACGGCCAACTGCCTGGATATTACGCCGACACTGCTCCCGAGGCCGGCTGCCAGGTGAGTGCCAGGTCTTGTCTGAAAGGAAATTTAATCTTTAGCTATTTCAAAGGAAACGATATAAAATGAAAAAAAAAGAGAAAAGGTAATTCGAATGGGATTTTCTATCTTATCTTTAACGAGAAGAGAAAAGAGGTAGCATCAGATCTTCCTATTTTATACTGCAGGGATCAATATTGTCAACTCAAATGAAGCAATTACTAAAATATTTAGCTTTTTTCATTAATTTTGTGGTGTTTGCAAGTAAAATGCAGCTATATAGTAGGGTGGGCCTTCAACCACGCACAGAAATATGGAGAGAAATTCATGATTCATGTTCAATAACCATCTTATAAGCACACACACAAACGAGGACACCCACACACCTACAGACGAGTACACACACACACACACACAGACAAGCACACACACACACACGCAGACAATGTTGTCCGATGTAGTTACCTTGCCTTTTTGCATTCATATTTGGTTGATCAAATGACCATCGTCATTTACGTGCAATTCAGCGAAATTTACACACATCTTACGTTCAATGTTTTCAGGTACATACCGTACAGTCGATGCATCTCACTGCTTTCCATTAATCCACCTATTTTTGCCCATTAGATAAATTCTGACACAGTTACTGTTGATGCATTTCAGGTGTTCCACATCTGTCAGGCAGGAGGCAGGATCGACTCGTTCCTTTGTCCCAATGGAACAATCTTCAACCAGCAATACTTCGTGTGCGATTGGTGGTACAACTTTGACTGTTCCACGGCTGAACAGTTCTATGGTCTGAATGCTGAGATTGGCAAGGTGAATGGAAATGGTAATGGCAATGGAAATGGTAATGGAAATGGTAATGGCAACGGAAATGGTAATGGTAATGGCAACGGCAATGGAAATGGATACACCAACGGTAACGGAAATGGATATACCAATGGTAATGGCAACGGAAATGGCTATACCAATGGCAACGGCAACGGAAACGGTTTCACCAATGGAAATGGAAACGGAAACGGAAATGGGTACACCAATGGTAATGGGTACACCAACGGTAACGGCAATGGTTTAACCAACGGTAATGGCAATGGAAATGGATATACCAACGGAAACGGATATACCAATGGTAAATAAACGGAAAGGTAATGGAAATGGAAACGTAATGGCAATGGAAATGGTAATGTAAGGGAAACGGCAATGATATATATACCAACGGAAACGGAATATACCAATGGAAATGAAATGGAAATGGACAACGGTAATGGCAACGAAATGGTAATGGAAAACAATCGGCAAAACGGAAAAAGGAAATGGTAATGGAAACGGCAACGGCAACGGTAATGGCAATGGTTATTACTACGGTGCCCCAAACGGTAACGGCAATGGCAATGGAGCGACGAATGGCAACGGAGTCAACGGACTCTACCAGACGCCGAGTTTCTAAACGACGAGCCTTTTCTCATTTCCTTCTCTCTCTTTCTTAAACTTTTCCGAATGTTACAAAGAAAACGATTATATTTATAGGGAAGACTTTTAAGTTATACGTTGTTTAGCCTTAATATTAATGACCTTAGTCATTAACAGAATCCAAGACCATATAGAGTGAAACATTTTTTTTTCATTTGCGAAACGTTTTTATTTTCATACGTATAAGATTATTTTGTTGAAATTAATCAATTATTGTTGCAATTAGTTATTATTATTTTTGTCAGTGTTATAGACAAAAATATTCTGTTTGATAATGTTTCACTTCAATGGTTTATCAAATTTTATACACTTGTGCCATAAGTCTTTCATGTATAATGGTTTAAATGTATATCACATAATATAGACATTATATATAACTGAGAATAAAGTTTATTAATTTGCAGTTAGGTGTCTGTTACCTTATATATA